TCGATGCGTTTTTCTCGATGAAGGAATTTTTTTTGAATTTTTTCTTTATTTTTATGTCAATCTACATGCATTTCTGCACATTTTGATGCAATAAAAAATTTCACCGTACACCACCTTTAAATTTATTTTCTAGAACCTTCAATTGTGTCTAAATTTCGCCCCCAGAATAATCAAATCGTTGTAGTAGTACTCGGGCGTTGTAGTAGTACTCGTAAACTGATATCCGCCCGGAGGGGGGGGGGGGGACACAAGGAAATCTTGTGAATGGATAGAGAGTGCGCTCATTGAGGCACAGCTGCTCTCTTTCTCTTTTCAAATCCCCAATTTTCTCCGTTTTCCCTCATTTCCGAGAAGAGTGAAATGTTCCGGTTTATGCTTCTCTCAGGTTTTGGCACGTGGAAGCTTATATTTTCCGAATTTTTTGATCCGGAATTTTGAAAAAAAATATAAACTTGCCACGTGGAATTTAGGTTTTGAACTAGATTTTCAGCGATTTTTCAAAATTTCCACAATTTTCTTTCTAAAAATCCGAATTTTCAACTTTTCTGACACCCTTTACGTCTTCTTTAATACTTGCCACGTGGCTTTCTTGAGCCAATTTCATCGAATTTGAGCGTTTAGAGCTTGCAAGCGCGCTCTACCGCACTTTTCTTGATTTTTAAATTTTTCGAATGAAAAAAGTGCGATAGAGCGCACTTGTAAGACCAAATCTATAATTATTCCACGTGGAATTTAGGTTTTGGCCTTGATTTTTTTTCGAAATTTCGATAGAGCGCATTTGTTTAAAAATTGAAAATTCGGAATTTTTTGGTTTTCCGAATATTTACAGAAAATTCAACTATTCTGAAATTCCCGATTTTCTGATTTTCTATCGAACTTTCCGGGATTTTCGTATTTTTCACTTAAAAAACTGCGGTAGAGCGCGCATTTTTTCCACAACTTCGGGAAGAAATTCAATTTTTTATGCACTAACGAAATTTTCCAAAGGAAATTTTCGAATTTTTTACTAAAAAAGTGCGGTAGAGCGCAAAGAAACAACTGCAAATAATAATATAAGAAAATGTACTATATTTTC